GACACTGATGCCCCTAAGGCCCAGGGGGGCCCCACAGGGGCCTTTATCTTGCAAATGCTGCGGCAGGAAGCAACACCTTCTTGGCTGCAGCTGCTGCAGCAACAACAGCAGCAGCAACAACAGCAGCAGCAGCAGCTGCAGCCTCAAGATCAGGCGACCCTAACAAGGCTCCTCTCTGTCGGGACTGCTGCAGCGGCGTTCCTAATGCCTTCCGGCCCCAGAAACAGCAGCAGCAGCAACAGCAGCAGCAGCAACAGCAGCAGCAGCAGCAGCAGAAATGGGGGGGTGTCGGTTGACTGGGACGGACAAGACGAGGCAATTTACAGCCGTCTGCTGCAGCTGAAATTGCTGCTGCTGCAGCAGCAGCAGGAGGAAGCTTCATTAGTCAAGGGGCCCTTCCGCATCGGCAGCGCCCAATGGGCTCGGTCTATAGTGCAGCAATATGTGTGTCTCCTGCAGCAGCAGCAGCAGCAGCAGCAGCAGCAGCGGAAGACATACTTCGAGGGCTTCAGCCTGATAGGGCTGCCGCCGCTGCCTCCCCCGGAGGCGTTTGCTGATCGTTTGCTGCTGTTCTCTCATCTTCTTTCTGCTCCTGCTGCTGCTGCTACTGGGCGCAGCAGCAGCAGCAGCAGCAGCACTGTTGGCGGTGTCGCTGCTGCCCTCTGCGTACGTCGCGCTAACCATGTCTCTCCCTCTGTCTCTGTTTTGCTGTCTTATCTTTGTCTCTTTTTTATTTTGCTGCGGTTAGGCGTTTGTTCACATCTCAGCTTTGTGTCTCCTTGCAGCAGCAGCAGCAGCAGCTGCTGCTGCTGCTGCTGCTGCTGCTGCAACAGAAGAAGCTATTGCTGCATGCGGTGTTTTTCGTCTCTTTCTCAGATTCCGCTGGAGTTGGCTGAGGGACGCCTGCAGCAGCTGCTGCACCGCATTGTCTCGTCTTTGTCTACCCGTCTCTTCTCTCTGCTCGCCCCCCAGCAACAGCAGCAGCAGCAGCAGCAGCAGCAGCAGCAGCAGGTCTTGCGAGAGGGAGCTGCTGCCCTGCGGGCAGCTGCTGCAGCATTAGGTGTGAAGACTACCGACACGAAAGCAGTTGCTGCTGCAGTGCTGCCGCTGCTGCACCAGCGTTTGGTGTCTCTTGCTGAGTCGGAGCTGCCTGCATCTGTCTCCTTGCAGCAGCAACAACAGCAGCAGCAGCAGGAACAGCAGCAACAGCAGCATTCTCTGTCTGTTGCCTCGCAGCACCATGGAGCTGCAGCAGCAGGTAGTTTGCTGCTGCTGCAGCAAGGGGCGTCAAGCATCCTGGGGGGTTTACGTCGCGCTGTTGGTGCAGCAGGTGCTGCTGCTGCTGCTCTTGTAGGCCCTGCTGCTGCAGCAGAGGCCCCCGCATGCATCGGTGCCTTAGCAGCAAAATCTCTTCTTCCTGCATTATTTAAATTTGAGCTTCAGCAGCAAATTGCTGCGCATGCAGACGCCAGCCAGTTGCTGCAGACCCCACAACAAGAGACAGAGACACTTCAACCCCCAAAGCAGCAGGGGCCCCCAAGCAAAACAGCAGCAGCAGCAGCAGCAGCAGCAGCAGCACGAACACTTGAGCCGGCGCCAGCACCGGCATCAACAGCAGCAACAGGAGCAGGTTCAACAGCAACTGCAGCAGCAGCAGCAGCAGCAGCAGGGAGAAGGAGTGGATTGTTGCAGGTTGAGGAGGCTCGGGATCTGCTGCAGCTGCAGCAGCAGCAGTTTGTCTCCGCGCTGCAGCTGGGCCTCAGCGCAGTTGCTGCTCCTCTTCGTCGTTGCCTTGAAATATCTGCGGAGATGCAAAACGAAGAGAAGTGCATGCAGGCAGCAAAACAAATGCTGCTGCTTGACTACGTGCGCCACCCATACTTCTGCTGCTGTTGCTGCTGCTGTTGCTGCTGCTGTTGTTGATGCTCCTGCTGTTGCTGTTGCTTCTGCTGCTGTTGTTGATGCTCCTGCTGTTGCTGCTCCTGCTGTTGCTGTTGCTTCTGCTGCTGTTGTTGCTGCTGCTGACCGTGCTGCGGCTAGACTATGTCTGCATCCTTTTCCTGCTGCTTCTGCTGCTGCTGGCACTGATCACAGTGCTGTTACTAATACTGTTGCTGCTGCTGCTTCTGCTTCTGCTCCTGTTGCCCGTGCTGCTGCTGTTCCTGCTGCTGCGCCGCTGCTGCCTCTCTTGCTGCTGCTGCTCCCTGTGCCTTGGTGGCTTCTCTATGTTCGCCAGTGTCAGCAGTGTGGGTCTTTGCTGCGGCTGCTGATGCTGCTGCTGCAGGAACTGGAGCGGCTAGTGGAGACTGCGGTGCCTGCAGCAGGAGCAGGGGGCCCCCTTGAGGGTGCGAGAGGGAGACTGCTGCTGCTGCTGTATCTGCGGCTGCATGCATTGCTAGGTGAGGGCCGAGCAGCAGCAGCAGCAGAGGCGCAGCAGCAAGCAGGAGAAAGCTCTCTCAGCAGCAGCTCAGGGCCTCTGGGGTCTCTGTGGGGCGGTGCA